CTGAGCCTAAATCTCGGGATACCCTATGACATGACCAGACACCAACAAGTACTGTGACTTGAGAGAGGGTTATGAGAAGATAACAGGGGCATCTACTGGAGAAAAAGTGACAGAAAAAAGCTGAGTCGATGCTCAAGAACAGGAGGCAGGGGGGTGGAAGATGCTTGTTTGAGGCAACGGGAGCAACATATGAGCAGGTGCCAAGAGAGCACAGCACTTTGGGAAAGCCATATAGTGTTCAGACAGGTAAGGGCATAGAGTGGAAGGTGGGGCATGGCAAGGGATGAGGATTCAGATGAAAGCTAAAGGGCTTCCTAAGCCATGGTAAGCACTTTGGACTTTATTCTAAAATCTGCCAAGAGCTGCTAGAATGGCTTTAAGCAAGAGAAACTCAATTTTAGCTGTGCTGGGGCAGACCACCCTGGCTACGAGTTGCAGAGTTCAGAGCTGAGACAGCAATGAGCTGGCCTGGGACGTGGCAGTTAAGCTGGAGAGAAACAGGCTGGAGAAAGATTCTGGTGTCAAAGTAACAGGGTTTGGTTATTGGCTGGTAACAGGAGGCGAACATGAGTCCTAGGTTTCTGGATTGGACAGTGGAAGGTGGATGGCAGTCCTTTATCTATTTGGGGAACCCAGAGGAGAATTGGGTTTTGGAAGGAAGGCAGTGAATTCGGGTTGCACTGAGCCAGTGCATGTCCTGGTGGATGGGTAGGGCTGTTCACAGGACCAAGCACAGGCTTATCATCAGTTAACAGCTATATGTTTTTTTTTTCTCCCTGGTATAGAAGAGAATCTTCACTGGGAATATAAGGAATTTGGGTTGGAATATGCCAGAGGGATAAACTTTGAGTTAAAAAATGTAGATGTACAATAACAAGATTTAGCTTCTGAATGCAGAGATAAACAAACAAAATCTTAATATCTCAGTGTAATAAAAATAACTCATAGAATTGCACTTGCACCAATGGCTCTTGTTTTATGATTTCCCCGACATGCTTCTGTAATAAAGCAATTGCTTTGTTATTGTGTTGGGGGGAGCTTCCTGCAGGGCACGCCTAGAAAATGGTGCACTTCACAAAAGATATGCCATCTCCCTGGGCTCTGATTTTTTTCTTTCTGGGTCAGTATTTCACTCTTGTCAGGATATTGCCTGATGCCTGCCTGTCTCAAACCCCAGAAGAGAGCCATCTGTCGAGCTGTGGAATGTTTTCAGCCACAAGTCATACATCATTATTCTAGCCAGGGCATGCTGTTGCTTGTAGAATTTTTTATAGGTGGAGGCCCAGCTTATGTTCGGAATTAGAGGCTCTCATCTGCCCGTGGCATATTGCAGCATGTGCTAGTAGAAATTCCCTCCTGGGTGATAACTTGAAATATTTGGGATGTTATTTGTTCAGGCATTCTATAACTCCTTTTAAACAACTCTTTCTGCATTACCATTCAATCTTCAAAAGCAGAAATTGTGTGTGTATGTGTGTGTGTGTGTGTGTGTGTGTGTGTCTGTGTGTATGTGTGTGTTTGTTTTGGATTGTCTCATACCAAAAGCATTTTCTATTTTCTCATTAGGAACTTTCTCTTTATCCAAAAGGAGAAAAAAAACCTGTGGAGCACACATTTTATATTTAAGCTTAAAAAACACGACCCACTTATACTTTAAAGGTTGTATTCTGGCATAACATATTTGTAATTTTAAACTTGTAAAGAGGGAACGTTTTAAAATTTAGCCTAGTATTAGTGATGTCTGCTAAGGAATAATTCCATTTATTAGCTTTCAAGTTAGATAAAAGCTCTAGCTTCAAGGAAAACGCAGCTAAAGGTAAAGGGGATGGTTTAGAGGAGAAATGCATTGTAGAGGCTGATTAGTTATGTGGGTTCATGCTACAGGAACTGAGTGATTATTGTCTTTCTTCTCTCTGTGTGTGGATCAGAGGGCTCTATTGCTTGAGTTGGGGAACAGGGAATACCGTAGCAATGAGCAGGTAGGGAGGGCTGAGCATGCTGAGTGGGTGGAAAAGTCCACAGACATCAGGAGTTTCCTTTTCTATAGTAATTAAAGTTTCACTGCAGAAGAAAAGCTTTAGGAATTTTAACATGTCAAGAGGCTAAAAATTCTGAAAATTTTTAGCTATAAGACAGTGAGGTGACACTGTACTCAATCCTGCAGACATAAATGGGGTTAAATCTAGAAACTCCTGATGAAAATCCTTCAAAGGTGCTTTATCACCCTGTGGCTAAAGCCCTTCTTAAGATGGCATGTGGAGCTTTTATGATTTGGCCCTGATTACATTTCCAGCCTTATTTTTTTTGCCTTCCTTGCCCATCTCTAACACCTTGTGCTGTGTCCTTCTTCCCAGTATTTATCCTTAGCTTTTAAAATAAAGCATACTATTGTGAAAAGAAGAATGCAATCAAATAAAATCCATACTTTTCTCTGTGTCTCAATTACAAATTCCTTGGAATAAACTAACAGGTCTTCCATAAAATCAAATTTGATTCCTATTGAAGTTGGGAAACATGCCATTGTCAAGCAAATATGGCTTGGAAATGAATGACCTTGCTACTTTTTCCCAAGGTCACATGGAAGTTTGGTGATGAAGAGGATCTTTGTTTTATTATCTGTAAAATAGAGATATTACAGTTTACTACATATGGCTATTGTGAGAATAAAATGAGATCATACTTATAAAAGACTAGGTAGGCATCATCCTTTATAAGCATAGGTGGTGCTAAATAAATAGTGACCACAAAATTTATCTAAGGGACTGCCTCGATACCTTCCAATGGGTGTGGTTTCTAGAGACAAGCATGAGCTCATAATGTTCTGACTTCCTTACTGTGCTTCTGAAATAGTCCTGTGTGTGTGTGTGTGTGTGTGTGTGTACAAAGGTGCTCACACACTTGCCCTCTATGTACAGCATGGCCTGTACATAGTACAGAGGCTGAGTTTTCCAAACCCTTTTCCCTCGTAATCTGCGTTTCCATCAACTTTCTATTGACCTTGCCATGCCATTCAGAGCATCACCTAGGTATTGCTGACACCTTTGAGCACATCTGATCAAAACTGTGGTTAGAGGGTAGAATATTTTCAGGGTCTGTGCATAATGATATAAAGGTTAAATAATAAATTAATTGATAGTTTAGAGCCCTCATTACGGCCATCTGTGTTAACTTCCCATTACAAATTAAGATATCTATTTTGACACAAGTTTAATTTTTCTAAAACACCTGTTCTAAAAGGCAGTATACATTTTACATAATGGAACTGGCAACATTTTGGAAATACTACACTTTACTAGAAAGTTAGTTATGTCCCAGAATAAATGTTATCCATGGTGTGTGTTGGGGAGAAGCTCTCATTTGTAATGAAGAAAGTCGACCCCTAAACAAAAACCCAGGCAGCATATATAAAATTCATCCACAGATTTCCTTTTCTTTCTCTTTCATTACTACTTTTTTTTTTTTAAATGAAGCCCTTTGGTTTTATTCTCACATTTTACAAAAATCATTGTAGAAGCATAGGTGTGATCAGTTAACAACTATTAAATTCTGAAAAAAACAACAAAGCTTCCATCTCAAATCATCCACAGAAATTGGAGCAATTTCCATTGTGGATTAGGCAGCTTATTTGTTTGTGCAATCCATTTTCCCCTACACTGGCTACTCATTTCATAAATAATTCTGGTAGTGTGGTTGCACAATATACTAGTATTTTGTTAGTTTTTCTACTAATCCAAATGGCATCATTCCTTTAATGCGATAAGTATCTTTGAAGACCAATTTCTACACAGGCTAAAATAAGAGAATTCTGGTTTACGATTGTTTTGCCATTTTCTAGGCACCATTTACTGTAACCAGGTAGCTAAAGAAATACCAGCATTTGCTTAAAATAAGACAATTTGCGAGGCCTGTCATAAGAAGTGAAAAGATTTCTCTTCCTTCTTGGTTTCCTTTAAACTATCCTCATAAAATAAAGGAATTGCCAGAAACTTTTAGATGCTTCTGCTACCTTCATGAAAAGGACTGCTTAATTGAAGTTACCGGCCTTCTTTCCTTTTCTGTTCAAAGATCACCTTTGCCCCATGGAAGGATGTCAAGGGAAAGATTTTTGCCTTTCAGGAGCAGCCTTAGAGAATTATAATCATCTGTCTCCATGTATTATATACCCTCCTTTTAGTATATTAAAAAGCAAGAAGATGCAAAACATGGCACATGTTCTTTACTACTTTTCAAATACAGGTTCTTTGAAGGCATGGTGGGTAAGTTCAGGAACGGATGGATTTAAATAAATTTCTGATCAATCCTAAGATTCTGTGATGTTGTCACTTGTATGATCTAAGGTGCTGCTCTAAACCTCACTTCTATGGGCTGACTGCCAACTACTTTCCAATGTTTATTTCTGCACTGTTCCATACTCAGGCAGTTTCTCATCCCTCTAACACACTTTTCCTCAAAGGTGGAAAGGCCTGCAGAGGAAGCTTGGCGTTTTAGGGGGAACACAAACGGTTTGCTGTGATCTGGATTTCAGATAGCTGAGTGGGGAAGTGTGAGTGAGAAGAGGCTGAAAATCACAAAGAGTCATGTCAGTCTTGCAAATGAGCTTGAACTTGATCCTAAGGACAGAGAAGCGGCATTGAGTATTTATTTTACAGACTAGCCATATGGTAAGAGTTTAGTTTTAGAAACATCACTGTTAAAATCTGGGTAGTGGGAATATGAGTGTTCATTTTACCATTCTTTGTACTTTTCTGTATTTTCAAAAGTCTGACTCAAGGAAATAGATAACTAAAGTTCATTTTCTGAGTATAAAGTAGAGAATAGATTAGGCAGATGCAACAAATATATATCAGTTGGAAATTAGTGACATTAATACACACAGGGGACAATGATGTGCTCACCATGCCAGTGCAAGGTTTCTGGAAAGCCAACTGGGTGAGTGCTAATGGTCCACACAGGAAGACATGGGGAAGATGACTATGGCTGCTTGGGACGGTTGGAAGTACCTGTGAGTCTTCTCAGTAGAGGTGCCACACAGGCAGTTGGATCTTTCAATATGGAGCTTGGGAGAAAGTTTTGGACCACAGACATTGATTCAGGCATTGCCAGTTTGTAGAAGCCATAGGCGCAGGGGAGATCACTACGAGAGTATGAGAAGAATGAAAAAATAGGTTGGGTGGGGGATGAAACTCAGAGGTACACCTGCAGGTGTTGGGATATTATAAGAAGTGGACAGAGAACTAGTTTCGTAAGGAAAAAAGCCATCAGTTGTGCCAAAGGGATCAAGTGAGATAATTGTGTTTTTTTTTTAATTTCAAAATATTAAGCAGGTACAAATGATTTTGTTACATGGATACACCATATAATGCTGAAGTCGGGGCTTTCACTGTGCCCACCACTGGGATGGTATTTATTGTACCCAATAGGTAAGCTTTTTATCCCTCACTCCCCTCTCACCCACCCCCTTCTTGGTTTCTGATGTCCTTTATATCTCTTTGTGCCCATGTGTACACATTGTTTAGCCCCCACTTATTAGTGAGAACATATTTTGTTTGGCTTTCCATTCCTAAGATACTTCACTTAGGATAACAGTCTCCAGTTCCATCCAAGTTGCTGCAAATGACATTATTTAATTCTTTTTCATGGCTGAGTAGTACGCCAGGGTCTCTGTGTGTGTGTGTGTGTGTGTATGTATATGTGTATGTATAATGCTGAATTTTCTTTATCCTCTCATGAATTCATGGGGACATAGGTTGAGTCCATATCTTTGCAATTATGAATTGTGCTGGAATAAACATTTGGGTGCAGGTGTATTTTTGATAAAATGATTTCTTTTCCTTTGGGTAGATACCCAGTAGTGGAATTGCTGGGTTGCATACTAGGGGTATTTTTAGCTGTTTGAGGAATCCCTATACTGTTTTCCATAGTGGTTAAGCCAGTTTGTAGTCCCACCAGTGTATAGACATTTTTTTTCTTTGCATCCAGGCCAGCTATCTGTTGTTTTTGACTTGTTAATAATGCATTCTGATAGGGATATGTGGTATCTCATTGTGGTTTTAATTTATGTTTCCCTGATGATTAATGATGATGAACATTTTTTCATATGGTTTTGGTCATTTATCTACTTTTTAAAAATTTTGTTCATGTCTTTTTCCCACTTTCTGATGGGGCTGTTTGCTTTATCTTGCTGTTTTGTTTGAGTTGTTTGTAGATTTTGGATATAAGTCCTTTGTCAGATGTACAGTTTACAAATATTTTCTCCAATTCTGTAGGTTGCTTGTTTACTCTGTTGATTATGTTCTTTGCTGTGCAGAAGCTTTTTAATTTAATTAAGTCCCATTTATTATATTTGCCTGTGGGTCTTAGTAATACATCCTTTGCCAAGGCCAATGTCTATAAGATTTTCCTATGCTTTTTCTAGAATTTTTATGGTTTCATGCCTTACATTTAAGTCTTCAGTCCATTTTGAATTAATTTTTGTATATGGTGAGAGATATAGGTCCTATTTCATTCTTCTGCATGAGGCTGTCCAATGTTCCCAGCACCATTTATTGAATAGGGCTTCCTTTGCCCAATGTATGTTTTTGTCTGTTTTGTCAAAGATCAGTTGGTCATAGGCATATGTTTTTATTTTGGGGTTCTCTATTCTGTTCCATTGGTCTATGTCTCTACATTTATACCAGTATCATGCTGTTTTGATAACTAATAACCTTGTAGTATAATTTGAAGTCAGGTAATGTGATGCTTTCAAATTTGTTCTTTTTGCTTAAGATTGCTTTGGCTATTTGGGCTCTTTTTTGGTTCCAAATGAAGCTTAGGATTATTTTTTCTAGATATATGAAATAAGATATTGGTTATTTTGGTTATTATTGGTTATTTTGTTATTGGTTATTTTTGGTTATTTTGGTTATATTGGTTATATTTGGTTATTATTGGTTATATTTCTAGATATATGAAATAAGATATTGGAGTTTGAGACCAGCCTCAGCAATGTAATTCATGGGAATTACATTGCATCTTTAAATCACTTTGGGCAGAATGGACATTTTGATAATGTTGATTCTACCAATCCATGAGCATGGGATGTTTTTACATTTGTTTGTGCCATCCATAATTTCTTTCAACAGTGTTTGGTAATTCTTATTGTAGAGATCACTCACCTCCTTCGTTAGGTAAATTCCTAAGTATTTTGTTTTCTTCATAGCTTTTGTAAATGGTATTGAGTCCTTGATTTGACTCTCAGCTTGACTGTTATTAGTGTATAGAAACACTACTGACTTGTGTACATTGATTTTTGTAACCTGAGATTTTGCTGAATTTATTTATCAATTCTAGAAGTCTTTTGATGTAGTCTTTAGGGTTTTATACGTACAGGAACATATCATTGGCAAACAGGGACAGTTTGACCTCCTCTTTCCTGATATGGATGCTCTTTATTTCTTTCTTTTGCCTGATTGCTCTGGCAAGAACTTCCAGTACTATGTTGACTAGAAGTGGTGACAGTAGGCATCTTGGTCCATTTCTTAAGGGAAATGCTTTCAACTTTTCCCTACTCAGTGTGATCTTTGCTGTGAGTTTTGTCATATGTGGCCTTTGTAATTTTGAGGTGCATTCCTTTTATGGACAGCTTGTTGAGGGCTTTTATCACGAAAATGTATTGGATTTTATCAAATGCTTTTTTCTGCATCTATTGAGATGATCATATGATTTTTGTTTTTGCTTCTGCTTATGTGATGATTCACATTTATTGATGTGTGTATATGTGTATGTTGAATCATTCTTACATCCCTGTGATGAAACCCACTTGATCATGATGAATTATTTTCTGAAGTGTTGCTGAATTCGGTTTGCTAGTATCTTGTTGAGGATTTTTGCATCAATGTTCATAATAGATATTGGTCCATAGTTTTGTTTATTTTGTAGTATCCTTTCCTGGCATTGGTATCAAGGTGATACTGGCTTTGTAGAAAGAGTTAGGTAGTATTCCTTCCTTCTGGATGTCATGGGATAATTTCTGTAGGATAGGTGCCAGTTTTTCTTGTAGGACTGGTAGAATTCGTCTGTGAATCCTTCTAGTCTGGGGCTTTTTGTGTTGGGCATTTTTTTTACTACTTCTTCAATCTCGCTGCTCATTATTGATCTGTTCAAGATTTCTATTTCTTCCTGATTGAGGCTTGTGTGGTTATATGTTTCTAGAAATTTATCAATTTCCTCTAGGTTTTCTAGTTTGTGTGTATAGAGGTTTCCTAGTATTCACTGATGATATTTTGTATTTCTGTGGTATCAGTTGTAATGTGTCCTTTTTCATTTGTGATTGTGCTTATTTGAACCATTTCTTTTCTATTTCTGGCTAATATGGCTGGTGGTGTATTAATTTTGTTTATCTTTTTAAAGAACCAAGTTTTTATTTCAAGGATCTTTTGTATTATTTTTTTGGGTTCTCCTTTGTTTAGTTCTCCTCTGAGCTTTGTTATTTCTTTTCTTCTGCTGGCATTAGGTTTGGTTTGTTCTTTTTCTAGGTCCTTGATATGTGACATCAGGTTGATAATTTGTGATGTTTCTGTCTTTTTGATGTAAGTATTTAAGGCTACAAACTTTCCCCTTAGCACTGCTTTTTCTGTATCCCATAGATTTTAAAGCTTGTGTTCCCTTTGCCATTTAGTTCAAATAATCTTTTGATTTCTATCTTAATTTCATCATTGACCCAAGGGTCATTCAGCAGCAAGTTATTTAATTTCCATGGCTTTGTGTAGATTTGAGAGTTTCTCTTGGAATTGATTTCTAGTTTTTTTCTATGCTGTCTGAGAAGACACATGGTATGATTTTGATTTTTCTGAGTTTTCTGAGACTTATTTTGTAGCCTAAGATATGATCAATCTTGTAAAATGTCTCATGTGCTGATAAGAAGAATATATATTTTGTAGTTTTTGGGTAGAGTATTCTGTAAATGTCTGTTAGGTTCATTTGTTCTGAAGTTCCATTTAAGTCCAGATTTTCTTTGTTGGTTTTCTGCTTTGATGATCTGTCCAGTTCTGTCAGTGGGGTATTGAAGTCCCTTGTGACTATGATGCTACTGTTTATTTCTTTGCTTAGATCTAGTAGAATTTGTTTTATGAATCTGGGAGCCCTGGTGTTAGATGCATATATACTTAGGATTGTTATGTCTACTTGTTGAATTTCCCCCTCTTATCATTATATAATGACTATCTTTGTCTCTCTCTTTTTTTTAACCATTGTTGGTTTAAAGTCAATTTTATTTGATATAAGAATGGCTATAACTGTTCACTTTTGGTTTCCACTTGTGTGGAATCTTTTTTTCTATCCCTTTACCTTGAGTCTATGTGAGTTCTTGCAAGTTAGATGGGTTTCTTGAGACAGCATATACTTACATTATGATTTTTCAACTATTCAACCAGTCTATGCCTTTTAAATGGAGCATTAAAATCAGTCATGTTCAGTGTTAGTATTGATTGTGGGATACTGCTCTGTTCATCATGTCAAATGATATCTTATTTTGTTTTCCCTTTTGTGTTATTGTTTTGTAAGAGCTGTGAGCTTTAACTTTGGGGTGCTTTTACACTGGTGAGTATCTATTGTGCTGTTCCATGTATAGTGAACTTTTGAGCATTTTCTGTAGGGTAGTCACAGTTGTGACAAATTCTCTTAATGTTTGCTTGTCTGGAAAAGTCTTTATTTCTCCATCACTTATGAAATTTAGTTTTGCAGGATACAAAGGTCTTGGCTAGCAGTTGTTTTGTTTAAGAAAACTAAAAATAGGGCACCAATCCCTTTTGGCTTGTAAGGTCTGCTCTGAGAAGTCTGCTGTCAGCCTGATGAATTTTCCTTTGTAGGTTAGCTGTTGCTTTAATCTTACAACTTGTAGATGTTCTCCTTTATTTTTGATTTTGTTCAGGTTGATGACTATGTGTTTTGGAGATGTCCTATTTGCTATGAATCTTCTCAGTGTTTAATGACCATCTTGCATCTGGCTGTATGACTATCTGGCAATATCAGGGAAGTTTTCCTCAATAATTCCTTGAATGGGTTTTCTATGCTTTTTGCTTATTCTTCTTCTCCCTCCAGAATACCTATAATTCATATATTGGCTCACTTTAAATAGTCCCATATTTCTCTTAGTGTTGTTCATTCTTCTTTACTTTTTCCTGCATTTTTGACTGACTGTGTTAGTTTGAAAGCCCTATCTTCAAACTCTGAAATTCATCCTTTTGCTTGGTCTAGCCTGCTGTTGAAGCTTTCTGCTGTATTTTGAAATTCCTTAAATGACTCTTCCATTTTTTCAAGTTCTGTTACATCCCTTATTAGGTTGTCTATCTCTTTAGTGACCTTTTCATTTTTGTCATTCATGTTTTAAATTTTTTTTTTTGCTTCTTTGTGTTGGTTTTCATTTTTTTCTTCAATCCCATTCATCTTGTTTTCCATCCATATTCTGAATTCCATTTCTGACATGTCAACAATTTCCTTTTGTTTGGGGTCTGTTGCTGTAGGTCTATTTTGATCCTTTGGGGGTGCTAAACTAGCTTGTTTTCTCACATTGCCAGAGTTCTTTTGCTGGTTTCTTTTCATCTGAAACCTCTTCTCTCACTTTAGGACAGGTAAGTTTGTAGTGTACCTGTGTTCCTTTGTTGTGAATGCTCCTATTTAATTAGAGGAGGGAGAAATCCCTAGATGGTGCATTTGTGTCCTATTCTGGAAGATTGGTCCAGCAGGCAAGGGGTGGTTATACTGAGATCTTGTAATGTAGCTGGTGGCTGTTTTGCACTGTCCCATTCCTCTGTGGTTGTAACAGTCCAAGCCAGTGCTGGGTGATCTTTGTGTGGAGTGGTAGGTTGGTCCCCAGCTGCTGTTGGAAGTTTGGGTTGGGGCTGTGTGAATCCCTCTCCATGGAGGTGGGCGTTGTAAGAGACTGCTCTGCCTGGGCTTCCCCATGGTGGTTGCAGTGGCTGCTGGTGTCCAGGCTGTGGGTGTTTGTTCTATCCAGGTCCAGGTATAATGGCAGCTTGTGGCAAGGGGTGGCTCATGAAAAGCAGGTCTGTGGTGGAGTGCTGGACCACAGGTGTGACATTGCATGATGTTATAGGGGTTTTGCTTGCTGGGTAGCACGTGAGTCCACAGGTGGTGGTGGTGGCCCACCAGGTCTTGTGCAGTTCTGTAGAGGCACGTTCCACTGCGCAGCTTGTGGGGCCATGGGAGCTGGGTTGCCAGATGACTGGGGCTCTCTCCCTCTGAAGCTGTTGCCGTAGGGCCTCTCAAATGGCATCAGTGCCCCTCTGTTTGAATTTCCTGGTTGGGGGTGCACTCAGGTCCTGGTCATTGGGCATGTGAAAGCCCCTGCCCTTCCTACTCCCTCCCTGGCCCAGAAAGGGTGATACAGAGGCTGTTGCTGTGAAGCTGATCCCTGTATAGACTGGGTGCTCTGGACCCAAGAGCTCAGAATGGCATCAGTTGCAGCCACCTGGGAACAGAAGCCACTGTATCCCTGCTGTGCCTATTCTCTCGTGCATCATTGCTATATAGTCTCTAAGCAGTTCCTTGATCAGTGTGGGGGGCCTGCAGTAGTGGTGGGGGGTCCTCACAGCTCAGGTCACAGTGTCAGCAGGGAGAATGTGGAGTCCCAGGGTTCGCTCCTTTGCCCCCTAGATGTCCCCCCAGGTACCTTCCAATCTTGGTGAGTGGATCTCCCTGTCCCCTTCTCCTTCACTCTGAGTTTCTCCTGTTGCTTCTATGATGATTTACAATGCTCTCTCCAAGAGAGTCCATCTGTAGGTAGACATCTACTTGCAACTTTTGATCCTTTCCTTGAGAATGGCGTGGGCAGGCTGTTTCTAGCCTGCAGTTGAAATAATTCTGAAAAATCATCTTTGATCAAATTTAGCAATGAGATTTTTGGGAAGAGCAATGGTGGTTGAATCGTAAGGGAAGAAACTAGATTACAAAGTCTTAAAAATTAAATAATAATTATAGCTACATTTTTAAAAGCTTGTTATATGCCAGACACTGTGCTTAGCTCTTTACCAGTATTGCCACATTTTATATTCACCCAATAATCAGATTAATATTTATTCCATTTTACTTGAGAAAACTGAGATATAGAGAAGTTAAATACTATGCCCATGATCACATAATTCAGGTGGGGAAAGAGCAACTCTGCCTCAAGTCTGCTTTAATCCAAAACTCCTCCCTTTATTGGGGAGCAGAGAGGGAAAGTGAGTGTAGACTTGCTCTCAACAAATGAGGGTATGAGGTGTAAGAGGAGGCACGAGAAGACCACAAGGGCCAGCCTGGGCAGAAGAGGGGCTTTATCTGTCTGATTGTTGTCAAGATGGAATAAGCTTTTAAGTATATTTAAATACTGATGGAAAAGAACTGGTAGAAAGGGAGAATTCAAAGATCTAGAGGAAGAAGGACAGACTAACAAGATAGGTCTTCTGAGAAGGTAGTGTAGGACAGAGGGGACCCAGAGCATCCCACTGTCATTGTCACCATGGTGATACCCACAGAGGTGAGCTGGGGAGCCGATGAGTGAGGGAGTCCTTGCCTTATGGTTTCTGTTTTCACTGTGAAGGAGGAGGAGGGGGCTTTTCTGAGCAAAGCCAGGAGTGGGAGTGGGGGATAAAGTAGAAGCTTTGATGAGTGTGAAGATTTACATTGGCCTGTGTGGAGGATGGGTGAGAGTGCTGACCAGAGAAATGCAGAAAGACTTCAAGCAGCACTTAAGGTCCAGTGGAGGCTGATCATGAATTTGTAGTGAGACTGATCTGGGGCAGAGAGCAGGAGAGAAAGGCATAGTTTATGCCAGGTGCTCAGGAGGGATTTATTGAATTTTGCAAAATTAAATAGATAGATAGATAAACATTGAATTTGCATTGACCTTGTGTTTTCCCCTGAAATTAGTTTCTTTAAAAAATTGAATCTATGATATCAGTTAGCTGTTAGTCCTTTTCTCATAAAAGGGAGCAAAAGAAAAGAAAATAAATCTGTGTATGTGAATGTTGTGGAAGTTTAGACATCAGACAAATAGAAAGTGTCTCTGATGAGCTTAGGTTCTCACGTGCTACTTTCCTCTGCTCCTTCAATCCTGTAAGTCTTTCAAAACTGAAGTGGGGAGACAAAAATAGAGGAGAAGCAGGGGAAAGTGAGAGGAAAGAGGAAGTGAGAGGAAGAAATGAGGACGAGGGACAAAGAGGGAGAGAAACTGGTGTGGCTTTGGAGTCCAGTATTATTAAGATTTCCAATGCTCACTGGCACTTCTTTGTCTGAATTTTCATGTCTCGGAAATCCTCCTGGGTGCTGGCCAGTTCACACGGTGACTTTCTAGCACATAGCAGTGACTGACAGCTTTGCAAACGAGGCTTGATGTCTGACAGACAACTACATCTCTCCTGCTAAGTATTACATCTGGACTTCTGTGTAGCTTTGCAAATCCCAGAGTGAGGGTTCCTTTCAGGACCCTCAATTTTTGCCTGATTGTTTTTATTCCTGCTCCTATCCAATTTCAGGATGGCATTTCATGCATCATTTTCTTTGTAGGAAGAGTTGGGGGTGGTGTGCCCAGTTAAAAATCCAGGTGCAGTAAGCGGTCTTAATTTGGATGAACTGCACTTCTAAATCAGGGCCAGATGGCTTCGAGGGTGGCAGCCTCAAATCTTCCTTCCATGGGGATCTGCTTCTCTCCCGGGGAAGCACTTCAGTGGCCATGGAAGTATTACCTTTGGTACATTCAATCTAACACCTAATGGGGCACATCACCACTCACAATTGACCTTAGACCATGGGCTCCTTCAGCAAGTCTGGAAGGAGCTGAAAGATGGGCAAGACTTTTAGACTAAACAACTCTTGTTCTTGGTGGACTCTTGTGAATAAGTGTTAGTGTCATGAACTGAAATGCTGGAACACCATGCTAGGATTCAGGATATGAACATATTTCTTCTTTGACAGTTGCAAACAAATTACTCTTCCATTTTATTCATTCATTAAATATTTATTAAGTGCCTACTATGCTCCAGGCACTATTGTAATGGGACCGTCCCCTTTCCTGCTGCTGTGGGCAGACCTTTCCCCCTGTGGCTAAGCCCAAGTATTTGGGCGAGGAATTAAAACTCCTGTTCATCAAGCACCTTCCACAGTCTGCATCACACCATCTCCAGGCCCGCCAAGAATGCATCGAGGTAAGAAGTGTTATGTTCATTTTACAGATCTGGAAATTAGGATTAAGACATGTGAAGTGACTTGCCAGCGAATGGCAGGACTGGGATTTGAACTCTTGTCTGTCTGTTTCCAAAACTCTTCCCACTAGTTAAGCTGTCAAAGGAGAAAAGAAGAAATAAAGACTTCAGTTTCCAAGAACACCATTTCCTCATACAATTCTATTTTGGCATTGGAAGCAGCCATTTACTCCTTTATGTAAATAGGGGTCAATCTAACGGTCATTTGCTTAGCAATGAGGCTGCATGTGAGGTTATAGCCTGGCTAAAAATTATTTGGTTAGGAGGGTAAATGTGAAGACCTCATTCACAAGGTAGGGCTAACTACCTTGAAAAGCTGTGTGGGTTGTAAATCCTCATTCATTTTGTACTCACTCTCCTATCCACTTGGCACCAGTACAATTAGCTGATGTTAAAGGCATGTCAACAAGGAAAAGATAGGGGAATTTGTCTTGGTTGAATATCCCTGGGGGGCACTTGCCTTTCTCACCCCATTTAATCACTGTATACCCTGTAAAGGGGGGATGAAGAAACCAAGGGAAAAAGGGTTGTAGGAACTTGCCCAAGCAAGAAAGAAATCAAGATTTGAACTCTGGTGTACCTGGCTCCAAAGTCCTTGCTTTTTCTTCTCTTACAATAATAAAGATGGGGGTTAGGGATTGTTTAGAGCTAGGGGGGAAGGGAATAGGTGAGAGTTTAGATGTTATCTCAGCTGAAAGCAGACCCCCAATTCAATCTCCTGGGCTTTTGCTGTTTTTTTTTCCTTCAATTTCAAAGGGATCCCTATTTAGAACTGCAGAGGCTGACTATAGCTACATTTCCCCGATGTGAATTTTCTTATTATGTTTTGCGAATCTCTGTAGGTATTTCCCTAGAAACTTCTACCTCTGGCAGCGTTGTAAGGTAGAAATAGCACTACTTTTGGAGTCAGGAGCCTCTCTTGGAGTCTTGGGTCTATGGAGGAGCTGTACATCCTTGAGTAAGACTGAAATTCTTTGGAGCAAAATCCTAAAACTCTTATTTTCTTTGCATTTTGAATGGAAATGAGGGTACCTACGGTTTTCATTCACTCATTCAATCCATTCACTCATTCATTGGTCTCTATGCCAGGCACTATCTAGCTGTGGGAGGTATGAGGTGAGCAAGAGCATGCTTATTCTTAAGGAGCTCATATTCTAGTGGGAAACTTAACAGAAACAATAAGCAAACACAAGAATGAAATAGGTTTGGATTGTTTTAAGTTTCATGGAGGAAAACAAAAATAAATGGGGTCATATGATGAAGGGGGGTGGCATGGGGTAAGGAAGGAGAACACTGTAGGCTGGGTGGCCAGAGAAGGCTCCTCAAAGGATGACACGTGAGCTGTGATCACAACAGCAGCAGAAACCAGTGGAGAAGAGCACACCCCAGTGAAAGAAGAGAACAAAGGAAAGAGAGATAGACCAGTGCTTGGAGTGTTTGCAGAACGGAAGGAAGATCTTGCATGATAGAGGTAAGAACCCAGGGATATAATATGTGTAAAATATTTTGTATGTTAAATTAATATTAATACATAATTATACAAAGACTATTATTTTTATTTTCCTTGCCCCTGCTACCTCTCCTCCCTCCCTCCCTTCTTCCCTCTTTTCCCTCCCTCTTTCCAATGTGTCTCCTACACCAATGCATCTCAAACTCTGATTAAAAAAAACAAAGCAAAATAGTACTTTTATTTTTAAATTTCCAATCTATTGTGGACTGATACTTTTGTACAATGTCCCAGTACTGTCAGTAACTGCAGAGATTTTAAAGGCTGTTCTTGGTTTCTCTACCTCCCTCCTGGTGGGCTGGTCTCAGATAGTTCGTTCACCACACCTTGAATTGCATTTGCTTATAATGACAGGTTTTCTCCTGGCCCAATCCTCCACTCCTAGGCTTGGTTATCAGAGGTTGCTGACCACTTAACAAATTGTAATAACCCAATGTCTTGATTGGCACAGAGCACAGTGGAGAGAGCACCGTGCATTGTAAAGTTGGGCTCTGAAGGGCTTTTGTGGGACGGGGTGACGTCTAGGATGAATTGAGTTTGAAGGTTAAGTAGGAGTTTGCCATGTAGACAAGGAAGAGAGCAGAGGAAGGAGGTCTGTAGCGTTCTGTATCTGTTTCATTTTGCTATTTGTCAACCTATCATATGAATGATATGGGGGGGCTCTTTAGCATTCTGTAACTGTTTCATTTTGCTATTTGTCAACATATCATATGAATAAGAAGCATTTTATCTAATGGGGCAGGGAGCCCAAAAGCACAGCCCAGGCATCCATGTAAGCAAGTCATAATGTGGGCCTTGGTGTGTTGTTCTCTGATTGCCACAGATCCTCCAGACTCTCAGAGACAGAGGCCTGGAGGCTGGTGTATAGAATCACCCTTAGTTTTTCCTGATGCTGTTGTACAATAAAACAGCCCAATTAGCCAGGAGCCAGGGCAGCCCTATGGGAAATTTCATCCAGAATCTAGAAGGAGAGCAGCGACGGGCAGGCATTTCCCACTAGGTCTCAATTCCTTTCACTAAGTTTGAAAAGCCAGGGGGAAGTGTCCAACAAGGATGGAATCCTTGCCAAGGTGAATTTCAAGCTGGCTTAAAAAGACTTGAGCAATAATGGCTGACTCTTAAGCGGAGAACGGACAAGGTTATTAAAACTATCAAAGCGTGCCTCGGGGTATTTGCGGCAGCCAGGGCTAGCTTTCCTGTGCTGTGAAACTACCCAAAGGAGAGCAGAGCTCCTCGCCAGGCCTGGGTGAGGGATAAAGATAAGGATGTCAGCCTTCTGAGGGAAACAATGCTCGTCAAGGGCGACACGGAATTCCTCTGATACCCCAAGCAGTGCAAAGAATTTCTAACCACTGGAGAGGTTTCAGTCATGCATTAAAAAAAAAAAAAAACAAAAAAACCCCCACAGAGACTATTGGCTTCTAAGGACAGGCTTCTCATTTTGTCTTAATTTTTTGAACAACTGAAAATCAAGCAGAAATTTTCTGGAAGACTTCACTGAGGGAGTGTTCCTCTAGACGAGGAGATGGAGTTGTTCTCGACTCTACTTTTTGAGGAGCCACTTGTGGTTTGGCAGACATAAGCCCATTATCCTTTCCTTGGATATTTCCCTGTGATTAAAAAATAATCTTTCCTGGAAATTTAAGGATGTGAAAAGAGCCTAGATGTCAATGAAAAGAATTATGTCTTACTGTTCAGTTTCAGTCTCCGTGGGTACAAGTGTTTCCACCAACTTGAATTCTGTTTCCAAAAGAGGAAGACCATGTTCATGGCAATTTGAAGTAGAGTGACTAGGAGCTTTGGACTTTGGAGTCATATAGACTCAGGATTGAGTTTTGGCTTTTCCTTATCTGGGTAAGTCATTTCGTCTCTCTGGATGTCCATCCCTTGTGTGTAAAATGGGGTAATGATGGTACTTATGAAAGGTTCTTGTTGAGCATTAAATGAGATACACTAAGGGGGCCTTCAGCACAGTGCCTGGTACAAAGTATAGGACACTATCAATTAATGTCTGATGCTATTATCATGTTATTCATTATTATGTTTGTGGCCAACTCAAATCCAGGGAACCTGTTACTAGTTCTGTCCTCTGCTGACACCATTGTGGCATGTGATAATTGGGTTACTTCCATGCTATTGGTTGCCTTACTCCTTCTCATCAATCAGCCAACCAATGTATGGATTTAAAATTTGCTTTTATGCAGCAGTGAGCTCATACTGTTGTGTTAGCTGCTATGGTGGACATAGAAAATGGATAAAGAATAGCAGAGGGGAATTGGTATTTACTGAAGACCCACAAATGGGCTTACCTATTTCATCTCATTTAATTGTCACAGCAGCCCTGCACGGTAGGCATGTTGCTCTCGTTTCACAAATGAGGGAAGGAATCCTGAGAGGCTAAGTGACTTGCCTAAGCTCACACAGCAAGGAAGTAGATTTGCACTCAGCCCACTGTGTCCCTTAAGATAGTGCTTGTCTTATTGTGTCAAACCACTTCTTTGCCTTTGATGAGTCCATGAGCTAACTAGGCAAGATGAAATGCACATAATGCAAAGCAGGGTGTAGACTGATAGAAAGCTACAACAATCAGATTGGAAGGACAATAGCAGCATACACCAGCCAGCTTGTGGGCCTTGTCTATGCCCTCTTCCCTGAGGTTGTATATCCACAACCACTGCAGAGGAAGTAGTGGGAAACATGGCTGGGCCCACTGGCCATAGCTGTCTAGGTCAGTGTTGGACATTTGACCCAACTAGGGACAAGCTGATTTTTTTCTAGTCTCTTAGAACACAGAGTTGGATGTTTGAATTGGGAGATTGTGTAGACCCAGGAATGGTATACTAGTATTCTATTATTTTGTAACAAAATGCCAGAAATTTAGCAGATTTAAACAATACTCACTTATCAGCTAACAGTTTGGTAGGTCTGGGCCTGTGTCTCCAGGTTCTCTGCTCAGAGTCTTAGAAAGCTGAAATCAAGGTGTTGGCTGAGCTGTGTTCCTCTATCAAGGCTTTAGAGAAAAATCCTTCACCAAACTCTTTTAGGTTGTTGGCCAAATTCAGTTTTTTTTGTAGCTGTAGGGCTGAGGTTCTCATTTCCTTGCTGGTTGTTGACTGGGGGCTGTTCTTAGTTCCCAGAGACTGCTCTCAATCCTTGCATGGGGCATTTCATCTCCAAAGCCAGCAGTGGAATCTCTCCCTCCGTTGTATCCCTCTCATGCTTCTCATCCTCCTCTCAGGAAGAGCCCAGATCTTTTTATGGTTCACCTGATTAGGTCAGACACATAAGCATAATCCCCTTTTCTTAAAGTGAACCGTGTCATAATGATATAGCCTAATCATCACAGTGAAATCCATGGTATCCACAGTCCCAGGGATTATATAAGGCATGTGCACCATCACTGGGGAGTCTTGGAGACACTTGCCTTACACAGATGGGGGTTGCCATTTGAGGGGGGCATATGCAAGCGGGGCAAAGAGATCTGGAGGGGAGGAAGAAGAAAGAGATAGAGAGAGGAGAGAAGAAGAAGAGAAGAGGAGAGGAGAGGAGAGGAGAGGAGAGGGGAGGGGAGGAGAGGAAAGGAGAGAAGAGGTTCTTTATAGTGGTCCCAGAAGAGAACATTTCTTTGCCTTTTCCAGCTTCTAGAGGCCACCTATGTTCCTTGTCCTTTGGCTTCTTCCTTCACCTTCAAAGTGCATCACTCCAATCTTTGCTTTCATCATTGCCTTGCCTTCTCTTCTCTGTAGTCCAACTTCCCTCTGCCTCCTTCTCATAAGGACCTGTGATTACATTTAGGGCCATTAGGATAATTTGGAATAGTCTCCTCTTCTCGAGATCCTTGACTTAATCGCATCTGCAAAGTCTCTTTTGCCATATAAGTCAACACCCACATGTTCCAGGGTTTAGGGCCTGCATATCTTTAGGGGGCCATTATTCAACCCACCAGAGTAGGTGTGGATTCTAGAGCCATGTGGCTTGAGTTCAAATCTCAACCTTGCCATTTACTGACCTCATGACAAGTTACTTAGCCTCTCTGTGCCTCCTTTTTATCTTCTGCTAAATGGGGGTAATACTAGTAATATATATGCATTGCACCATTTTTGTGATGCTTTAATGAGGTAATGAACAAAAAGTGCTTATTGCAGAGCATAGCAAACATTGAGTGAATGTTGGTAATTATAGTTTTCCCTGATGTTATTTAGGGCCTATGCTATGTATCCATTGTTTTTTGCCTTCCAGCATCCATTTCCTTCTGGGGCTTCTAATAGCACCTGTGTTTTTCTTGGGGAACTTCCTCTATCTTGCTCTCTGTGTATGTGGTTTAGGCGAGGCTGAATTCGCTGCTAGCCCCAGGACTGGCTGTGGGACGCAGGCCCGAGCCCACCAATATAATTTCCTTGCCTTGATCCTAGGGATTGCTTCCACGATGGATGCCTGAGCTAAATTGGTCCAAGTGGTGTGAATCTGTGACTTTTCCAGGAGCAAGTAGCAAGGGATATTTTCATGGGGTCGCTGAGAGCAGAGTGTGTGAAGCTGTAGCTACAGGCAGCCTTTTTTATCCCCTTTTAAAGTTTTACCACACTGTGGAGCCAACCCAGAGGATGGGAAGCAGAATCAAGGAAAGGAGAGAAACCCCTGAAGTTTGAGGTTAAACTTCAAATACCGCTGGTCCTGAAACCAGCACTTTTGTGGTCTCTCAAGTTAAGTGAGCCGATAAAGTCTCCTTCTTACTTAAGCCAGTTTAGATTGGGTTTCCTGTCATTTTTATCTGAAAGATTTCCAGAGTCATGGGGGACTGGGGAATCCCTTCTTTCTCTCTGAGAGGAGATAGAGGCAGGCCATCCCTTGGCCTCAGCAGATGCATCACCAGAAGCCCCAGCCATGTGTTTGTGGCCCCAAAATGTCACTGGGGTGCAATGAAGTCCCTAATGTTCTCCCTACTCCTTCCACCATGACGGTGATGACGGTGATGCCTCCCATCCATAAGGAAGAAAAATCCTTTCTAATACTTGCAACAACCCTGCAAGGGAAAGATTATTTTATAGATGGGAGAACGGGAGCTCAGGGAAGTAAATTTTCCAAGGTCAAATAGCTAATGCTAGCCAACAGTAGGGGTCAAACACAAAGCTTGTCCCCTTCCTACTCGGCTGCAGTGACTCCCAGAGGCATTCTGGGAGGAGACTCTACAATCAGGAACTAAGTGATTATGTGTGCAGTAGCCATGGCCGCTTGGCCTTCGGGAAGGTTGGGATTCTTCTGTTCTGTGCATTGCTCCTAAGAAGATGCTGCAGACATTAGACTAAAAATCTAGGCCGGGCACAGTGGCTCATGCCTGTAATCCTAGCACTCTGGGAGGCCAAGGCGGGCGGATCATTTGAGCTCAGGAGTTTGAGACCAGCCTGAGCAAGAGTGAGACTCTGTCTCTACCAAAAAATAGAAAGAAATTAGCTGGACAACGAAAAATATATAGAAAAAATTAGCCGGGCATAGTGACATGCCTGTAGTCTCAGCTACTTGGGAGGCTGAGGCAGTAGCATTGCTTGAGCCCAGGAGTTTGAGGTTGCTGTGAGCAAGGCTGATGCCATGGCACTCTAGCCCAGGCAACAGAGTGAGACTCTCTCACACACACACACACAAATATATATATATATGTATATATATATATGAATAAATAAATACATAAATTTAAAAAAATCTCCTCCCATTGACTGGGTAAATTTGCATTCTGTATTTCCACACTTTCCTGTGTTTTATGTAAACCTTCTCATGTGTTGGATTTGTGTCTAGAGGATTCCTTCAGTGTTCAAATTAGACATTATACACTCTTGGGAATATTCTACTCAGTGGGCTTATCATTCTTTCTATAGGTATACGTCTAAACTGAGACATGAGGTACAACGTAAAGCAAATAGAAAGTAGCTACTGCCTTTTGAGTTCTTGTATTCCAAAGCAAATAATAATAGCAGTGAACCAGTGAATAACAAGCGTAAATACATGCACACATAAGTAAGGATAAAATATTGTGTTGTGATGACAAACAAACGTTGGCCACTAAATATATATGGATCTGAGCTTCACACACACACACCACTTTCTAATTCTGGGCAAATTACCTAATCATTTACCTTTGAGTTCCTCAACCAAAAATTGGGGACAATAATAATTCTTCACAGCATCACTGTGAGGATTGTGGCTATAATTGGGAGGATTATAGGGCTGAATGGCAATTGTAAACATTAAGCACCCAGCATGGTGCCTGGTTCAAAATGAGAACTCAACAATACTGAGTATTTTTTAGTGTATGTATATGTGAAAAAAGTAAAATATTTATAATGCATACACAAACTGTCTAATATACAGAAGGTACAGAATCAGATTTATAAAAGATTAATAAAGACTGAATATATGTATTTCATTATTATAGTTACACTTTGGTCCTAGAGACTAGACAGCTGCCTAGAAAAGCTGCTTTTCATGGGAAAAACTGAATCTATTATCCATTCAGACCTTAGTCAGGGACCAGGAGCCACAGGTTTTGTGACATGATCTTTGGAATTAGGATGCAGAAACCAGTTATTGGGCTGTATGGGACATATTCACCAACTCTCAGGGGCACAAGAGGATACTCAGGACAATCTTGGAAAAGCAAGATCCGAAGGTGGTCCAGAAATCAGAACTGAAGTTCAGGTGCCCCCTGGTCTCAGCAGAGAGAACAAGGCAAGAAGCACTGTCAGGTGTTAAGACAAATTCCACACAAGTCTCATATTCACTCATTGCCAATATCTATGTCTCCTCAAAATCTTTATATGGTATCAGCATAGCCCTGATTTTCCCCTTCTGAGAGCTGCCACCAAATTGGTGCTCGCTTGAAGTCCTATCTCTGTTGACCTGACTCCACCTTCTGGCCATTGTTTATTGGACAGTTGGAGCTGTCAATCCCTATCCCAGGATTTTAGAATTGGGATGTGTAGTTGCTTAGTGCATTTTCTGAACTAAGGACCTGGGAACTCAGGAGATGTGAAATAACTATATGCACAGGAAAGTGAGGAAAGTAAGTTTGGAGAGATGGGTGAGGCAGATGCAAAGAGTATAGAAAGAGATGCAAAGAGAAATAGAAATGAGAGAAAATGTATGTGTGTGTATTTGTGTGTGTGTGTGTGAGAGAGAGAGAGAGTGAGAGAGAGAGAGAGAGAGAGAGAGAGAGAGACCTCAGTTTCTGACTATTCTTCAGTTCTTGTTTTCAGCCTCTTCCCTAACCCTCAAGAGTCTTGAATATTTTTGAGTCATGATAAGTTCCACTCGCTCTGTTTTTTTTTTTTTTTTTGCTAATTCTAATTTGAGATGTGTCTTTTGTTCATTAATACAAATATCTAAGCAGGTAACACTTAACTTTCCCAATATCTCCTTATAGTCCCTATTTTTAAAATTTAATTTATGAATTTAAAGATTTCTATTCAATTAAGGATACTGTGCACAAAGTTAAAAGACAGCTATCATATTGAGAAAAAACTATTCGCTATGTCTAAACTGACAAAAGACTAATTTCTAGAATATGTAATAAACTTTTACAAGTCAACAAGAAACAAAACCCAACACCCCAAAAGAAAAATAGACAAAAGGTATGAGCAGGCGATTTATAGAAGACAGAAATCCAAAAGGCTAAGAAGGATATGAAGAATATTCAAAGTCATTATTAATAAAATAAAGTAAAAGTAAAACAAAGAGTTATCTCTTGACACCCATTAGACTGGCAAAATACAGAGAAAACCTGAAAGAGGAGACACAGCGACCACCTAAGTGCTTGTAGAGCGATGAGCATGTAGAGTGAGGCAGCCATTTTGGAAAGTAATCCAGCATTCATACTCTTATGATATATATAGGTGTCTTCCATGCCCTGGTCCTGGGTAGACAGCCCAAAGAGTTCTCACACAGGTTCAGTGAAATGCATAGGAGTACAGTAATTTCCGTATTGTTTGTGGTGGTGCGGTGTTAGAAGCCATTTCACCACCATGGGAACGTGTAGGTGAAATGTGGTCTGCACACATGAATACCGTGTAACAGGTAGAAAAAAATGGACTCAAAGCACAATGTGGATAGACATTAAAAAGCTAGTGCTTAGTGGAAATTGGAAGAAATAGAATGAGATATGTAACAATCTATCTCTATATAATAAAAAGACTTGCAAATATAGTACATATTTATAAATAAACCTTAATAAACATTAAAATGATTGCTGATGGGGTAGGGAACAGAAGAGAGAAAGGTGATG